GCTGTTCTCGCCGCACTTTCGTTCGCTGCTGTCTCCTAAAGTTCCCTATTTGGGAGAGCCAGAAATTAAGGATATAAGTGAAGGAGAATTCACAGAACTTCTGAATGTTTTGTATCCGACGCGGAGGCCCGTAAATGGTACTAAACTCCTTTGTTTTATTTAGAGCTGACAAAGTTTGAAAAATAAAAAAAACTAAAACAAAAAAGACTCAACTAAATAATATTTACAAAATTTTTATTTTATCACTTCGTTTGTAAACAACAACTTTGATACTAGTTTCTTAACTACATTCTTCAAGTTGCGGCTAAGAGTTTGAAACCTTTTTTGATAACATTCTAGTAGTGAGAAAAGTAGCAATTTACTAACTTAGAAACTTTAGTTCAAAATCTCGATTATTTGTTGGATGTTGGCTACAGATACGAAATTCCGTATGTCGTCTACCTCTGTGAACAGTTTTTAATATCATCTGCCGATATCAAAATTGTCAAAAAATTGTCATTCGCTGAGAAATATAAACTGAGCAGATTACAAGTACGTTTACAAGGCATTTTCATTTTTAAGCGTTTCATAACTGGTCTCAGCTGTGCCACTGTTACTTGTCGGTGTATAGCCTTCTGTTCCAACTTAAAGGTTTTTTACACTTTGTCTTAATGATGTGAGCCTTGAGGATTTTTGAGGATGAGTGCATGAAAACGTTCAGAAACGCGGGTGATGTGAACCGGTTGAAGCAGGATAAGGATTTCGAAAATTTGGGACACATGACAAAGTCTTTGTTGCTTGATATTCTCTGAATAAACGAGACCATGGAATTAATGTTTTACTTAGTTATTAACGTTTTTATAAATATTATTAATAAAATTGCGTTTTTTGTTCATTTTTACTCCATTCAATTTTTTTCTATAAATGTGGGTTCTGAATCGTGACGCTCTTTGGTTTAATATTTGTATTGCTGTCGCAAATAAGAAACGACTTTCATTGCTTTATAAGCCATAGTTATCTGTTACCTATCAAATGCAGGAGTTAAAAAGAATTCAAAGAATTTTAATCAGTTACTCACTGTTGGTTGAGTAATAAACAACTTCACAATTTTCTAGCATTAACCATTCAAACTTGTACGTTAACGACCGGCAATAGACATTCCGATTGCTTAACATCCCTATCGGTTGAAATGACCGAAGGGCGTCAGAAAGAATCGGGTAGAGGGATATAGCGATAAAGAGGTCAGTAGACATCACACGTCTGTAGGTGGACTATTAAAACGCTAGACAGAGATCACTGAGCGGATGTCGAGACGATGGAAGGCAGAAAAAAAGACTTTTTGGTTCCGACCAAGCGGTGACTAATCGATCAGTTTTGATTGTTTTATTCTCTACTGGTGTTAAATAGGATTCTGTCGTGTGTTGGTATTGCTTTCTAAAAAAGGAATTATCTGTACTACTATAGTGACTACCTATCACGGCGACACCTTTTCTTCTAATTCGTGCTGTCAGTTCTTTAGGTTTTCTACGATCAAAATTTGATACCACCACTGAAACTTATTTCACTTTATAAATTTAAAAGTTTTGGAAAAGTTATATGGTCTGCCTACAGTTTACGAGCGCAGGCTTCTGAAATGCGTTTCATGCAGGATGCTCACTGTGCAGGAAGTGTCGAAGAAAATCATTTCTACTGTTGTTTAATCCAGGTCAAGCGATTTAAAGTAAGCTCTAGTGAAAGATGTGTTCAGTTCCTCTGCGGGTTGAAATAACGGCTCGTATCTCAAAGAAGCGTAAAGTCACCTCTTTTCTGACTAGGCTCTCCGGGAGAACTTTTACAGTGCTTCCACTCTGTTCTATTGGCCTCTCGCGTATTTACAACACAATTTAAATAAGTACTGTTTAAGTGAATGCCTTAGACTTAATTTTTTGTCAAAGTGCATTTACATAACTGAGGGTATACTTTTGTAACAGAAACTCTACACTGTTTTCTGTCGGCCTAGTTTAACAAAGTTAGTGGCTGAGAGTAAGGAAAGTCTTCTTTTGAAATGTTTTGCTCGCGTTTGCAACAATTTTTTGTGCGCGTAATAATAGTTTTTTAGAAACAAAATGGTATGAATACATGTTTTCTAATTCATCGGGGTTATCCGGTTAGTGTAGTAGCTGCAAGTAATGCAAAAATTCAACACGTACCTCAAGACTGAGATATTTGTCTCCAAAATTATTTGACTGTAGAGGATTTTGACGATATAATATGACTTCTTCTGCTTTAAATGCGAAACCTGGAGGGTCACTAAACGTCAGATAGATAAAAATGGTTAATTACGTTTAGAATCTGAGGCCGTAATGAACGTAAGGAGATGCTG